TCAGTAATCATCTGTACACTGTATAGTATTGTTCTTATTAATGTTTCAAACACTTCTTTAATTCACCTTTTCTTCGTGTCCCTTCTGCTGATGTGAAAAGTGAATTTCCCCAGTGTGGGATGAAATAAAGTCTGTGTCTATGTCATGATGCCATCCTGCTGATGTTTTGGAGTTTTCCCCTTTTCTGCGGAATTTCCCGCAGAAAAGGGGAATTCAATTCAACTTTATTTATATAGCGCCAAATCACAACAGCAGTCGCCTCAAGGCGCTTTATATTGTACAGTAGATCGTACAATAATAGATACAGAGAAAAAGCCAACAATCATATGACCCCCTATGAGCAAGCACTTTGGTGACAATATAACGGTGCATCGCTCCCGAGTGTTACTGCCCAGTGATGGATCAGCCTGCTGTGAGGAGGAGAGACCTGTGAAGGTTTCTACCATCACCTGATCACCTGTGACCACGAGCTGCAGGCAGCAACTGAAACAACACCATCGAGAATGCAAACAACAGAAATGAGCTTCCTCTGAACGGCGTCCCAGCTTTAGAGATGTGGTGAGGTGTTTCGTGATCTGGGAGAAGAGCCGGCAGGACTGGGACACGCTCTGAGGAACTGATGCTTTCACTGACCGCTGTTGGCTCAAAGTAAGGAGGCTTTACACCAGCTGACCGAAACTCTGCTGCCCGACTCGTCACTGGGACCAAGAGGAGAGGTATGAAGCTCCGACCTGCACGGCTAACACCTTTGGAGACTTTGATACCTGAAATCTTTGAGCTTAAACATCTCCAGGCTTCAGTCAGCCTGTGGATTACTGTTTACTTTTACTGTATTTTAAATTCTGATTTAATAAGCAGTTTCCATTTTTTACCTCAGTTATTTTATTATTATTTACTCATTACAGTAGTCAAATTACTGTATATTTTACTCTATTTTTATTATGCATCTGCCTCGTTTCTTAACACATTAGTTTTTACTGAATTAGTTTCTAAATGTAGTCTTAATCTGCTCAAACTATTTAAACGTTGAAAGTGTTGCTTTTGTGCTCTTTTTAAGTTATTATAAATCGCTTATTACTGCATAATGATTTTACTCTGATTTATTGTCGGCTCTGACCGGACTGAAAGGTGCTGACAATAAAATCTGATTGATTGATTATCTGATTAATAATCACGTGATGCCGCCTTCACAGCACTTTCATGTATGAAACGTTACCGGGGAAGCAGAGTGGACCTGGACTGGAGCAGTTTGGGGTTCAGTCAAAGTGCCTTGCTCAAGGAGTCCTGACCAGCCTCACGTGCAGCAAACAGACTCCAGCTGTGTGCGTGCTGACTAACAGAGGAGCTGCTGTTCGTGGTGAGGCAACAGCTCATTAACGTCAAACCGGGTCAGTTTGGAGAACTGACGTCATACCGAACTCAAAGACTGGGCGTTCAAACGCGCTCGTGTTTAAAAACGGAGGCTTTAAACCCGGGAAAGCTCGCGCTGACAGCTCTGATATTAGCATGTGATGCTAACATGAGACCCTAACAGAGTTTGCGCGCACAAAGCGGCGCGCTCGGAAAACAGGCCAAAGCAGTTTTTCGGCGCCGAGCAGCGGCCGTTAAACGTACCCTCTTTATCGGCCATTGTCCAAACTCTGCCCGCGACTCGGAGCCGGACGGCAGAGAATCCAGGAAGGCGGGAGTTCTGTTAAAACTGCTGCTCGGGGGAGCCGCTGCTAAACCCACAGTCCTTCCCTCTCAGCGCCGGATTACGGAGGAGCGCTGCGCATGCGTGAGCGCGCGCATACTACAGGGGATCAGCGCTGTGCACAGACTGCGCAGACAGGGCATGCGCATCGAAAACAAAGAGAACACAGAAACAGCGGAGTACCAGGACCACGGTGATGGGCACAGGACCAAAGGCAACAGTACAGTGGGCGGTGTCACGTGGGGGCGGGGTCGAATATCAAATTTACACTTTACAAGATTTACAAGAAACTGGCAAATTCATTAGAAAAAACCCCCCAGTATTTTTTAAGAGGAAGGAACAGAAAATGTACAAGGAAAAATGTACTTTTTTATTTTCTTAATGTGGCCTACAAAACAGACAGTGAGCAGTTTGCCTCTGACTGGAGGTCTTATAATGTCTCACAGTATAAGTACTCAGCATCTCGCCTAAAATCAACCAAATTTTGCTCCAAAAGGTGAACCGTTATTAGATATTCAGATAATAAAGGTCTCGTTTAAGTAAACCTGAATACAGGCTGAGATCACACCTGTGGCTGCTTTTCATGTTCTTTAATCCAACAGATGAAGGATGAAAAAGCAGCAGTAAGATGCTGTGATGTTCATCGGGAAAAGGTTTTATAATCCAGAGGAAGAAGCAGCTGAGCTCTCTGCAGCTCTGATGAATGTCACAATATAAAGAGTTAAACTTCACAGAGAAGCAGCTCTGAGGTGTGACTGATGCACATTTAACACACCTGTGAACAAACTACAGCAGACTTACAGATCCTGCTATTAAAAGATCATTCCATACACACAAAAATGAATTTTAAAAAGCCGGTTTAAACAGAGCTTAAATATTTTTATTTTCTTTTAATTTGTGTAATTTTAGGATTATAATTTTGATTGGATGTCTCATACAGATTGGCTGAAACCAAAAAACTAAACTGAAGCAAGTAAACGTACACTGGAACCAAAGGGAAAAAAGAAAAGACTGAAATCAAAGGCAGAAGTGTGAGACCTCAGTAACACAGACAGCCAAGGAGGTCAGAAAGGTGCTTTTATTTTGGTGAGTGTGAACAGGAAACAGACGGGCTCTGCATTCCAATGAGTTTATTTTGTAAAAGTTTTGTCCATAAACAGCAAAAACAGTTTACAGTAAATTACAAACCTTTAAAATGCAAAACATGTTCCAAATACGAGCATTAACAAAGATCGGAAAGAAACACCGACAGAGGAAGAGACGAGTTCGCGCAGAGAGGATGTCTCGACCCGCCGTGGGAAAATAAACAGTCTATATCTGATGACAACAGGAGTGGGAGCAAAGCAAAGGCAACGGGAGTTAAAAGACCGAGCGGTCAGGCGTCGACTTTGATTCGGTCGAAGGAGGATTTGGCAACTTCAAAATAAAAGATGACACCGCCCGTCTCCTCTGAGGGTGGACGCGGTCCAGGTCACCTTCGGGAATACAGACAAGCCAACGGAAACAGAGGCGTCCGTTTCCTTCAGGTTCACTCGCTAACAGCAACATGACGCTGACCTCTGAGCATCCACCAGGTCATCTGCAGAGTTACCTCAGTCTCTGTGAGTTAACCCAGGAGGTCATCATCATCATCATCATCTAATGTGTTTTGAAAAAAAGCAAAAACAAGAAAAAGTTTTTGATGTCAGAATGATTCATTTTAGTCTCCTGATTGGCAGAGACAAAAACACTCCCATATTTTTATAAGCAGGGTCAAAGTCCCGACGCCAACCGGCGCCGCTTGGCCTCAAACTCACAGCGGGGAGGATGGCCGTAGACCCACGGGTCAAAAACTGAGTTGTTAGGGGTAACACGGGCTTAACTTAATGAGTTTGTCAGCCTGATCCTCCTCCACCTTTTTTTTTTAAACAGGAAGTAGTCTGGAGAGGTGGAAGTCCTAAATCAGAAATGAGTCCATCAGAGGGACGACTCAGAATCAGAGAGGCTCTGAGCGTGTGCAGAGAAGGGAGGGTGGAGGATGAAGTTGGAGCTGCCAGGCAGGAGAAGAGGAAGACCTCAGAGGAGATTCATGGATGTAGTGAAGGAGGACATGCAGAGGAGGAAGCTGGGACAGGAGGAGGTGGAGAGGACTGGAAGAAGAAGAAAGTCTACTGGTGTGGAGAGGATAATCCCAGTTACTTTCTTTGTGTGGTAGTTTTCAGAGGTGGGTTTGCAGGGATGGGGTTTTTAAAGAATCTTCACCTACTTGGAACACATGTCACAGTTTGTGAAGAAACGAAACAATCTGAAAGGGAAAACGTTCGAACGGCTCGTCAGAATGAAGAAACCGGCTCGGGTCTCCCAGACGACGTCTGTTGTCAGGTTTCCCAGTTTCCACACCGTGTTACGTGGATGTGACGCGAGGGTCACCTCTGCCGGTCTGATGGATGCTCAGAGGTTAAACAGAAGAACCAGCCGACACTTGGATGGATGGCGAGTACAACAGCAGAGCATGCCACTATAAAAAGCTTTGAATTATACAGTGATCTATTTCACAGGTACACAGAGGAACGGATGTGTCACTTCTCCATAAAAAGATGAGCTGTTTTCTAGAGCGGCCCGAGTAGAATAGCGCTCCTACACTCTACAACCAAAGTCAAATATACAGATAAGAGTTAATACGGAGTTACAATGTGTAACCCGGTTGTGCACAACACTCCATACATTTATCTATGTATTTCCATTCATCTTTTTCTGGTTACATAAAAGAGTAACATATAGTGTGGATGGCTAATGTTTGACACTGAATATTCCATAAACCACTCCCATAATTATCCAGGTAAAAAAACAGAAACCTATTTCAAGCTACAACTAGAGTGATCAGTACACCGCAAAACCCGACATACATCATAGACGCTAGGAGAGTGTATATATATATATATATACACATCTCTATATTTATACATATATATATATATATATATATATATATACATATCTATATTTATACATATCTATATTTATATATATATATATACACACACACATTATATATATATATATATATATATATATATATGTATATGTATATGTATATATACATATAATGTGTATATATATATATATATATATATAGATATATATATATATATACATATAATGTGTATATATACATATATATATAAATATAGATATGTATAAATATATATATATATATATATATATATATATATATATATATATATAATGTGTATATATATATATATATATATATATATATATATATATATATATATACACATTATATATATATATATATATATGGGTCTTATCAAATGCATTTGTACACAGTGACAGGTGATCATGAGTGATGTGTACAGGTAGGTCTGTGCAGTCAGTATAAATACTGTCTGATGGTTATCTACACTGTGTGAGTATGACGTACACCTGGAGGAACACACCTGACCTGTCGCACAAGGTGTGACTCAAAGGTTCTGAGAGCGGGTCCACCTGTCTGCTTAGTCATCAACGTTTCCAGGTCCAAACTCCGAGGAAGACGGTGAAGAAGGTCCAACTCAGTCGAGGGATCAGCGTGGCTGTTCTCGCAGACACACCGCGGTGTCCAGGCTGGGGTGTCGGCGAGGAGAGGGGTTTAAAGGAGATGCAGAACTGACTGTGAGCCAGTGGAGGCTCATATGGGTGGGGCTGAGAAGTTTTGAACGTACTGCAGAACTCATCTAGGGCTGTGATTGGCCGACCGAACGGGGCATCGTTACAGTAGTCCAGGTGGGAGGCGATAAAAGGCATGAATAGAGGTTTCAGCTGCAGAGGCTGAAAGTCTGAGAGCACTGGCTCGAGTCTGGAGATGTTCTTTAAGTGGCAGGATGCAGTTTCAGAGATGGAGGTAAGATTGGTTGGATACCTCATGAGCTAGAATGTCCAGGTCTCTGTAAAAGGTCGTGTCCCTGCCGGGCGGAAGCAAACGCCATCAGGTGGCTGGAAGAAGACGCTGACAATGGACCAAACGCCCACAGCACGAGGCCAGTCGTTAATCTGCTCCTCTGCGGTTTGGACTACTCGCTGTGAACAAGCGCCGAGCGTTCAGGTATTTGGTGTCTGGGACAGCGTGTCAAAGGTCAAAGGTCTGCAGCACGTTAAACAGAGCCTCGTGCATCGCAGGAGACGCGTGGACCAGAAACAGGTCGGTACGACAAAAAAGTTCACCTGATTTAAACTGAGCAGGTATGCTGGATATCAGCGGGCCGAATTTATATCAGGTGACGTTTCTGGACGAGTTCTCAGAACCTTGTGATCACATCCAAGTCGCAGAGCAAGCACAGATGCACCAATACTGTGTTTCTACTGTGTTTCTACTGTGTTTCTACTGTGTGCGACAAACTACAGGAAGTAGTACATGTAAAAAGTCATTTTTCAGCAGTTAGTCAGGAGGCAGGTCAGGACCGTAAGTTTGTGGACACAAGCTCTGCAGTTTCACACACACCACAGTGGACAGCAGCTTTAACTCAAGGGTGAATTAAACTTGCATTCTCTCCAACAATCACCAGGGGGCGACATCTCTCCAATCTGATAGACGTCTATGAGAAAAGGGGAGGTCAGTAACACTTATGGTGTCAGTCGGCGTCTCGGGTCTTATCGTTTAATTTGGAGATTGTGGTCTCATGAGTCCGAGTCCCTCACTCATACAGTCTGCAGCCAATCAGACAAAAGCTGTTGTTAAAAAGGGAGGAGCTTATTCCAAACTGCTCAGTCTGCGATGTGCAGAGGCAAAATGATCCAATAACTTACAGGCCTGAGCGTACAAACATAAAACACAAGCACTGCGTCAGCGTGTGAGGAGATAAATCTGGGCGTTTCACATCATGTTTGTTCACTCTGGAGCCTGAATGACACCCACAGAAACACACAGACGGGTCATGTTGTTGTGTTACCTCTGAGCTCTCACTGATTTCAGTCACAGACGTTTCAGTGAAGCCTACAGCTTTTTGTTGATATAAAAAAACACTTGAACTAACGCTGAATGTGCCGAGACATTTACCGTTACCGGCACAGCGCGACAGAAATGCTTATACTGGGTTTGCTTTAGTCAGCCTAGCTTTCATTAACCATTGTTTACATTCATCCTTTAAAATGGATTCAATTCCACAAAAACCACGCTGCGGTTACAGAGCGCAGCTGGTTAGCTACAGCAGAGCAATAAATAAATCCAGACGGCTCAGCTCTGTCGTCAGACTGCACCGGGGTTTCCTTTTGAATAAAGCGAGCTCGGACGGTCGGGTCAGTACGAACAGCTGACTCTGTTTGCTGATTGTTCGGAAGGTGCAGTCAGATCGAAGCGAGCCGGCCGAAACTTTTGAGTTTTTCTGTGCTTTTGTGAATTTTCAGCAGGTTCATTCTGCTGGGCTGTTAGCTACCTCCACAATAACACCAACACAGAACATTTTAACTGTGGTCAACATCTGGATCACACCTCTGGAACAACATCGGCTTCAGCCAATCAGCATTTAGGATTTAGAGAGCCCTGCTGCTGATGTCATCAAAAGACGTGCAGAGATCAACGTGAGAAGTTCGACGAGTCGGACAGCAACATCGAAAAAATGCTAACACAACCAATAAGCATTCACAGCACCTGGCCAGCTCACCTGAGCAACGACAGGTGCCTTACTGTGCACGCGGTCGCTGCCTGATCTGTACTGGAGACCCGATTTATTCCACACATGTGCAAACACGCTCACACTTCCTGTCACAGTTTAAAAGTAATATTTTTCTTGCTGGTGTTACCTGATACCTACGTCTTCTGTTGTGAAGAAATTAATATGGCATATTTATTCTTGTTTGTCTAAAGCAGCCTTCTTTTATCTGCCAGTTTCCCCTCAAACAGACACATTTATAGAGGAAATCTTTAACTTTATAGGTTTGATTGATAAATATCTTTAAACACGTGCTTAGTTTGACTTTTTAATTTTTGCATAGTCGAAAGAATAATTTGTTCATATTTTACAGTCACTTTATAACTAATCCAAGTTTTTATTATTAACACGCTGAACCACAAAAAAATATTTATTTATATTCGGTGGTTTTTAAATGTTGTCGATGTTGGCAGGAGAGCGCTCTGTGATGACATCACAAACACCGATTGGCTAACGCAGCTGTTGCTCAGATCTGCGTGTCCGTCTGTGACGAGGTTCACGGTTCGGACTAAAGCTAAAACTTTACGCTCCTAAATCAGCTACTGAAGCTTAAACACAGTAAATTAAAACACGTCACTGTCGCCTCAGGCCAAGTAGAAACAAATCAAATCAAGAATAAAGCTCCATTAAAAACACACATTATGGTATCAAAGCTCCTAAAGGTTTACATGTACTTAATGCCACTTAAAATATCCTTCAAATCATCGCATGAAACTAATTACAACCTTCAGCCGTTGATTTTCGAGGCTTCTCCTGGGATTAAGTGAGAGTGCTGAGAAATAACCCGTGTGACGTAATGCCCAGTCTCAAGCCTGGTACCAACGTGGAGGCTGATACCAGCATCAGTAAGGGTGCATCTTTCATACAAACACACACTGAAGAACAGGAAGTGGAGGTGTCGATGGCAGCCAGCAGGTGGTGCTGATGAGAAATCATGTCGTGGGGTCACCGTGCCAACGTCGCAGCTACGCGCAACAATTTCCCCTCTAGTGTTCCTCTAAGAGCAGCTGGTTCTGAGGAAGGAAAAGACAGCGTGTTCAGAAAAGCTAAAGCAGACTCGTCTCAGGCACTTTCACATTCAGCACATTCATGTCTAATCCATTGGCTTTTTGACCATTGTTGCGGGAGCACATTTGTGAGGACTCTGTGCAGGCCAGTCAACCACACCAGTCTGGCTCATCCAAGTCTTTATGGACCTGCTTTTTGCACTGGTGCGCAGTCATGTTGGAACAGGAAGTGGCCATCCCCAAACCGTCCACACATAGTTGGGAGCATGAAATTGTCCAAAGTGTCTCTGATTGCTAAAGCATGAAGACTTCATTAGAAGTAGAGGGCCGAGCCCAGCTCCTGAACTCCGACCCTACACCAAACTTTACACTTGGCACAGTGCAGTCAGACCAATACCCAGCTACACATGGAGTGTACAAAGAAAGCTGAACAGCTATGTTGGCTACCACATTGGATTGCTGGTTGCAAAACACAACACAGTCATAAATGTCTCATAAAAGCATTTAAGCCTTGGTCTAATTAAAAGCTTCGTGGAATAAAGCTTTAGCTGCTTCTTAAAAGTCTCCACAGAGTCCAAACTCCGCAGTGCACTCCACAGTCCGGGTGCAACAGGATCTGAAACCAGTGTGAGGGAGTGAAAGGTTTTGATTCGATGACCTCAGGCTAAAAGTTCATTAAGGGCGAGATTTATGGGCAAAGGAGCGAATGTTCAGAAGGCCAATCCAACAAAAACATGTCAGCGCGAGCTGGTCGCAGTGAGACTCACAGCAAACACTTTGTCTGCTCTCCAGCCGCTGGGATCAGCCACTGGTTTGGCGATGCAAGCGGCGAGGGCACAGCGGTAAGAATCCAGAGCATCCAGCGAGAAAAACTGACGCTGCAGTGGAGGGCGCATTTCCAACCACAACCTGAAGAGTAACTGGCAACAAAAACCAGGGACGGCTCCAGTCCAATTGGTGGATCTCCGACCTGGAGGCTCGTCCAATCTGCTCCTGAATGAGAGCCCCACAGCCTTTTTCCTCAATATCTTCTTAGGATTCCCTGAGGTACGGCCCACGAGTAGTGAAAAATATTCATGTGCCACAAACGGTGGCAGAGAAACTCTCTTATAACTGACCCAGTCATCAAAAAGCTGTTTGATGTGGAGCAGGGAGGAACGGTCATCAAACACAGCAGCAGAGGTAAATGCATCGTCTGCATTTATATTTGAAGGCTTCTTGAATTTGTACCAAGGATGTATAGAACAAATCTTTTCTGTTCTTTTCTATTCGTGTACAGTGTTTCCCAGTGATTTAAAACGGGTTAAAAACAACTTGGTTTGGGTTGAAACGCACACTTCCAACTGAAACCCTGTTTATCAGTTTGGATGCATAACTCGAACCTCTTTCTTGCCTCTGAGTGCTAACATCTTTTATTCCCACCTTACTGTCAGTGGTGTTCTGCATGAGGTCGTTGTCAGGGTCCCCTCCCTCCGAGCCGCTCTTCTGGTCATCATCCTTCTCGTCTTTCCCCAGGTCGTCCTCTCCAGACGAGATCCTCGACAGCTTTGAGGATTTCTGAGGCAGGAAAACGAGCATCAGCAGACAAACTACACATAGTTAAAGACATTCAGCTCATAGAGCAGTTCAACCGGACAACCAAACATCAGAGCAAATATCTTTAAAAGCCTCGGATCAGGAAGGTTAAAAAAACCCAACTCACTGCAAACCCCTTTGAAACCCTACGCCAGAAACAGACATGCAATATGTAAAGTGAAAATCCACAAAGGCCAATTTCTGGAGGAAGACTGCCGAATGAATGAATGTGAGGAAATGCTCAAAGAAGTGGAAACACTTGAGGGACATCTTTGTTGGTTGTGTTGTGGAGCATACAACATAACATTAGGCTGTATGCTCCACAAAGACTTGCTGCAGCCTGCAGCGGCAGGTCTGCTCAAACAACTAATTTTAATAGAAGTGATGAATCAGGTTATGAAGAGAAATGAATGAAATTCTTTGTGTGACATAACAGATACAACAGGCAGCAAAGCAAAAACAAAACTCAAAGAACAATCACAGTGACAGCCCCTCCCGGAGCCCGGTTCTGATAGAGGTCACTTCCTGTTCGTCTTCTTTCCCACTGTCACCAAGTGCTGCTCACAGGGAATCATCTCTAATTCTGCAACTATGTAACTGCGTTGTATAGTGGGGTGGCTGTAGCTCAGGTGGCAGAGCAGGTCAGCCACTAATCAGAAGGTCGGTGGTTCGATCCCAGGCTGCCTCCTGCATGCCAAGGATATTTGGCATGCAGCCCCATGTTTGCCTACTGGTGGTGGTCAGAGGGCGCCAGTGTCCGGCAGCCTCGCCTCTGTCAGTGCGCCCCAGGGCAGCTGTGGCTACAATGTAGCTGCCATCACCTGTGTGTGGATGACTGGATGTGAAAAAGCACTGTGGGGTCCTTGAGGGCTAGAAAAGCGCTATACAAATACAGGCCATTTACCATTTATATAAAGTTAGATATGAGCTGAGTCAAAGTCCAGACCTGAAAACATGATTTTAGCTTTAATATGAGCTCATTTCTGTTTCTTTGTCCCCATCTGATTAACACACACACTCGTTTTCATATCTTAATGAGGACATCTCATTGACATAATGCCTAGAGATGGACCGATCCGATATTACGTATCGGTATCGGTCCGATACTGACCTAAATTACTGGATCGGATATCGGAGAAAAATAAAAAATGTAATCCGATCCATTAAATATCACGAAAGCACCTCACAAAACTTGCAACACGCCGTAACTCACCTCAGAACGTTAGCACGTCGGAGCAGTATGCATCACGTGATAGAGCGGCTGTGGCATGCGGGACCTGTCGGTGGTCTGGATAGCATTTGGAGCTTCGCTAGCAACCCGGCATTTCATCTCCGATAAAGTTATCCCCGAGAGAAGTAAAGCAAGTGTGTAAGTCCATCTCTGAATGTAAAGCATTCCTGCGTTAAGCTTAACAAGCGATATATGGAGCGACTGCCTCTCCTGCTGCTACTTCAATCATGAAACTGCTTAACGATCAGCTGATCGGCTTTTCTGTCGCAAGTCCGTGACTCTAGTTTGCTTTTGGCCCACTTTGCACCAGAAAGAGGAAACCAGCAGCTGAACAACAGCAGCACGTTTAAGCTTGATCAGCTGTTGTTAGAATGTATTTATTATTACTTTCTATTCGAGGATCTTTTTCTACGTAGCTGACGCTGGTAACTGTGCAGGGGCGGATCTAGCAAAGTTTAGCCAGGGGGGGCGATAGGGCATGAACAGGGAAAAGGGGCACAAAGACATACTTTTCTTTCTTATTCTCATTTAAAATGTCGAGCTTTTAATAAATAATTATCTGACACCCAAAGTTTTAATTTGATGTAAAATGAATAGAAGTCAATTACTGTATATAGTGACTATTAAGTCTAATATATATACCCTAGTAAGCTATAGTACTTTTTCCTTTGGGAAGGTACCATCTGTGCAGTCTGCAATTTTGTTGAAGAAAGATGTTGAATCTATTTAATATTTCTTGAAAAATAATTGATTTCTGTGCATTTTTTTTCACACTGCATCAAATTAAGGTTGATTACGTTGATTAAGCATCATGAGGTGGAGCGTGAGGGGTGGTTCCCTATTTTTTATTTATTTATTTTTGTTGTTGCTGGGAGTTGGAACCCTATTAGTTAGGTTGCTTAATATTTATGCTAAGTACTCTTTAAAATACCAGAATAGGGAGGATGGTGTAGGTTTAAGTTTATTAGATTGATCAGTATTGCTGTACTATGAAATATTTTTTTTGCATACAGGTATAACAGAATAGCTTTAGTGTAGTTGTTGTTTTAAACTTGAGTATGAACTTATACAAAATGCAGCAAGATATTTAAAAAACAGTTTTGTTGATTAAAAAACACTATATCGGATTCATATCGGTATCGGCAGATATCCAAATTTATGATATCGGTATCGGACATAAAAAAGTGGTATCGTGCCATCTCTAGTAATGCCTTCTCGAGCTCCTGACCTAACCATCAAAAATGAACGCCTAATCCAAACCTTTACCCTAAACTTAACTGTAACCCTGACACTAAAACCACATTTCGAGTCTCAAACTTGTGGGGACCTGGACTAGCCTTCCAATGTGTTGTCCTCACAAAGATGTCTAAACATGTACACCACACACACACGCTGCTCCCGGGAGCGCAGCACATTCCTTCGGATGCACCACATGTGCCGTGTGTAATGGAGACCAGTTGCTAGGCAACTGTGGTTGCTAAGTGAAGAGCAGGATGCGAGTGACTTTTTCAACCTGCCTCCATTTACAGCAGCTTAAACATGACTACAGTAACACAGAGAGAGAGGGAGGGAGAGCTTTCCTCCAGAATAAAGGTCAAACAAAAGACGGAGGACGTGAAAAACACGGGGAAGGTCGGAGACGCTGCTGCGGGGGCGGCAAACATCTGGGTGAATGAAGGGCAAAAGATGAAGGTTTAGACTCATTTTGAGCAATTAAAAAAATATTTAGCCGTGAGATTCAAACGATGTCTGCGACGCGGCTTTCACGTGATCCTCTGCAGCATCCATCAGATATCAGCTGATTTTATTTCAGACGTTTGTTAACATCAACAAATCAAACATTCACGTCGCCCTGCTTCATGAAATGTTCCTCAAACAGCACAAAACCGATCATCTGTTAGGTCCCGAGCGAGTAACGTGAGTCAACACTCACCACATCACCGCGTGTGCTCACAGCGATGAAGGGAGACCGAGCTCCCTGATGTTCTTTTAAAATCCATTTAAATATCTGACCAAAGCTTTATTGTTGGGTTTGTGGAGAGCAGGAGAACGCGAGAATAATGCCGCAGACTTTAAATCTGGACGATTCATCTCAGATTTTTAGCTGAAACCTGGAGGTAGCGCCGAAACCTGCAGTTCCACTAATGTCCAGCAGAGGCTCCACAGAGAGTCACTCTCATTTAAAAACGTGTTTCCAGCCTGCTGTCGGAGCCCGTGGGAACATGTTGATTCAAGCTTTTCACACTAACAGACATATTTGACCCCAGCAGGTCAGATTACTGCGGCACAGCTGATGACCTCTCCTGCTCAAACCTGAAACAAGCAGCGTAACGAGCACAGACTCGTTTCGCACTCCCCTGTCTGCAGGACGCTACCTTGGAGCTGGCCGTCTTTTTCCGTTTGGACCCGGTCTTGTCTCCTTTCAGTTTCTCCTTGTCGTCTTCCTCCTCGACGGAGTCGCCCTCTTCGCCCTCGCTGCTGCCATCGGCGGCGTTCCCGCCCTCCTCCATCTCCGACGAGCTCTGCTGCTGGATGGCCTGCGAGCAGACAACGCTGCGTTTGATTAGTAAAGCTGAAAGGAGGATGTTTATTGTGAAAGGCTTTTCTTTGAAGCTTCAGCGCCCACTGACCTGATAGCCGGTGAACTTCACTCCGGGGTTGTTCTCAATCTCCCACAGGCCCTCGTTGAAGCCTTTCCTCTTGTTGGATTTGCCAAATTTGTCTTTGTACTCCTTGTAGGGAAGAAGATCCTTTGGACCCAAGAATGCACTGAAAAAGACGCAGAAGAAGAAGCGGACAGGTTTACTTCTGTTATCATAACTAAAAACACCCAGAGCGGCTTTACTGAATGATCTGAAGTTCATTGATGAACATGCGGCGTTTTCACGAGGCTCTGAGGAGACAATCTGGACGGCTCCATCGCCGGTTGGTGATATTTTTGATAGTTTAGTGAAAACGAAGCTCCATAAATATTTGACTTGTAGAGCGTGACGGCTGAACGTGACCACACAGTGGAGCCCGCTGCCTCTTTTGATCCTCGTCTCCTTCCCGACTCCAACCGGACCGTTATTTACAAAACAAACGTCAAGATTCATTCTTTATTTCTCAGACTTCTGAGGAGTCGCCCCCTGCTGGACACCAGAGACAATGCTAGTATCAGATCTATGTCCATCTTTTATATACAGTGTGTGTGATCATGTGTGATGAGCAGGGCTGATCTTACTGGATGAGAGCATGGATAGCACCAGACTGAAAGTAACTAAGTACATGTACTTGAGTACTTTTTGTTTCCGTGTTTAAATGTTGATCTTTTAACTCTGAACATTTGAAACTTTCAGTTCCTTCACTGTGTGGCTATTAAGCATAAATGTCCTGATATACAAAGATGACTCATCAGGGATGGAGCGGCTCTTCCAGAGATTATGAATCACAGGAATCTGGTTGAAACCAGGGATCTTTCAGGTGTCGAGCAACACGACGGATCCACAAATCAGAATATTTTTATTGTCCTTGTAACAAGTACAACAAAATATTGAAAATAAACAAAAACATCTGTATACGTGTTTACAGATGAAGCTACGCAGCAGTATAAAGCCAGTCTGTGTTACCTGTAAGGTCTGTGCATCATGTTCATATGCTTTCATGCTCTATATAATTACATTCTGGTATTATTTTTATTATATGCTGCAGTAAATAAACACAGACTTTAAAAACTTTCTCAGCTGGAGTTTTATTAAAGTTCTGGTGGTTTTGTTTTGAGGAAAGGTCAAAATTCCTGCAGAAAAACAGCCAGCATGTAAATAATTCAAATCATCTGGAACGTTAAAGCGAGACAAACGCCAATGAATCGATAAATCTGCTAATATCATGGATATGAGTGTACACACATTTTAACTCCTGCGCAGCCGATTTCCACGGACCGCCCTCCGTAGGAGGCCAAACGCCAGTTTGAGTTTATGCTCTGGATTTATTTCGGATCAAATATCGTGATTCCCGGCCCGTGGACCCGAGCGCTGCAGCTGCTGCTTGCCTCGTAAACACAAGCTGAAAAATAAAAAGGTGCGTACGTTTCATGGGTCCCGAAGAAGAAGATGGGGTATTTGTTGGCAGGTGGCTTGACAGCTCCTTCAGGAAGCTCATCAATCTGAAGCAGAGAGAGAAAGTGAATATTTATCAGAGCGATGACCAACCGAGGTCACAGAAGCCTGGAGAGAGGTCAGCGTGTTGGAGGAGGTAGGATGAAAACAACAACAAACTGTATTTATACAGCAGCGTAACAGTTACAGAAGCATCGTTTCTATCTGTGAGGATTTTTAACACATTCATGAGTTTCAATGAAGAAATTTCTCTTACAGGAAATACGACAGACACGAAACAGAGATAAAAACAAAACGAGCATTTGGTTATAAAACAGCGTGTTGGACTTACAAAGAGAAACGAATGAAGCAAGGCGCTGAAACTACTTATGTTTCATTAGAGAGGAGTTTCACACTACTTTAAATGATAGTTTTAAACAATTTTCAGCAGCTAAAATTAAATACATGTAGATCCAACCCCCGGTCCCCACAGCGCCTCCTGTGGGCAGTGATGATGCTTCTTTAGGCTGTCCCCACAGAGCGCCATACCCTCCCCGAGCAGGGTAATCATGATGTTGATGCTTCACAGGGCAACGGTGGAATGGACTGATTCTTATAGAGCACGTGAATGAGGCATACAACATGCCTCATTCACGTGCTCTATACATAGTGCTTTCTAACGACATCCATACTCCGATGGACGCATCGGAGAGCAAGTTCAGGTTAGTATCTTGCCCAAGGATGCTTGACATGCAGGCTGGAGGAGCCAGGGATCGAACCACCAACCTTCCAATCAGTGGGTGACCAGCTCTACCTCCTGAGCTACAGCCACCTTGAAGGTGAACTCTTCACCTGGGACTAAGGCACACAAACTCCTCCACCACGATGGGGAGGTGATTCAGAGCATGGAGCCTCACAGGTGAGGTGTTCTGGGCATGTCGGGGGTGAGACCCTGGGGCAGACCCAGGCCACGCTGGGGAGATTATTTCTCCTTCACTCACTACGTGTTAACAGACCTCTCTGCACTGATTCATGCTTGTTATTAACCTCTGTCTCTCTTTATCCTGTCTTCCTTCTCTCACCCCAACCAATCACAGCAGATGGCCCCGCCCCTCCCTGAGCCTGGTTCTGCTGGAGGTTTCTTCCTGTTAAAAAGGAGTTTTTCCTTCCCACTGTCGCCAAAGTGCTGCTCATAGGGGCTCATATGATTGTTGGGTTTTTCTCTGTATGTATTATTGTAGGGTCGACCTTACAGTATAAAGCACCTTGAGGCGACTGTTGCTGTGATTTGGTGCTGTGTAAATAAAATCTGCCGGGTGGGGAATGCCTCGGTGAGGTGGAGGAGGTGGGCGGGGAGCTTGAAGCGCTGCTGCTTAGACTGCAATGACTCGGACAAACAGCAGGAGATGGATAAACAAGTAGGGAGGATAAAAAATACAATAAATGATATGTGAGTGCCGTCAGATTAGAAACAGATGAGCTTCCTGAAAACATGCTGTGAGTAAAGTACCTGCGGTCTGAGGACACTGATGGAGAAGTCCTCCACCCAGGACCAAGAACCCATCTAACTAGAACCATTCAAAGGTATGAGGCCGTGCTGTTAGATCACAGACACTTTCGCAGGCCCCCGGGCCGTATGTTTGACACCCGTGCTTTAGAGAAACAGCCCATTGGAAGTTAGAGTGAAATGTTTTTCTCTGTGCCATTATCCATCAGCTGATCACTACTCAACCACATCGTACATTTTTAAATGTCTACCTGATACAGCCACATGTTATATGTGGTCTGATTCTTGTATAGCGAGTACTTCTGCACTCAGAGCACATTTTTCATGCTCTAACATCCATACTCTGATGGATGCACCAGATGTCAACTAGAGCAGACTGGGACTGAACCAGCAACCTTCTGATTAGTATTGCCCTGCTGCATCACCTGAGCCACAGCCACCCTTCAGTACAGTCAGAGCTTTCCAATGGGTCGGTGCTCCTCTGGCAATCCGAGTCAAACCTCTCTAAGAGGAGATGAATCCATACATGCTCTCATATATGAATCATTTCTGTGTTTAAACTTTGCTTGTGCATGGAGGAACCTCCTGCCCACTGACACACCGAGTCTGACATGAATCAGAGCTTCTGTTGTGAAGTGACAGGAGTTTGGGTGGAGCGTGTCCCGTTCATCCACTTTTACAGTCAAATATTCCTAAACTTTAGAGGACATAACAAATGTCGCTGTGCTTCGCTGCACCTTCTGCAGGGTGGAAGCTGAAGCACTGTAGGAGCCCATCACGTCAGTAACATCCTGAACCTGCTGTCAGGATTTTATCTCACATTTTCTAAAAGAACCTTTGATAAAACCTCAAACAGCAAAACCATCCTGACAGGGTCCAAACTTTCTCTCTTAGACTTTATCTGAAACGATCAGCATCCTGCACACGGTCCCTGAGCATCACCAGGTGAGCACAGGTGTGCACAGGTGTCCACAGTCACTCCTGACTGCAGGAAAATAAATCTGCATTCGTGCATTATGTGAACGCAGTCATGTGAGGACTTGCAGGAGCCGTGGGTCACTCGTGCTGCGTGAGTGGCAGGTATACGTACAGGTATACACGAGCCGTGTTTGAAGCACGGGCTCGTTTTAGTGATGTGGGACAGCAGCGAGAAGCCGACAGAAACACGGCGCGTGAGCGAGGTTACCTGAGGTCATGTGCAGGTTTAACATCACAACCACATTAAAACACGCGCGCGCACGCACGCACGCAGTGCGAAGCTGGGAGAGAAGCGCAGTTTCGCAGAAAATGGAGCCCTGCTAAGGGCCCCGAACTCGGTGTAAGATGCCCGCACACGGACGTTGCCCGGGGCCGCAAATGCGCAGAGAAATGCGGCTCCGCTCCCGCAGCAGCGGCAGGACCGCGCGCACCGACCCCGCCTCCCGCGCTCCCAGCCCAGACTCACCCTGGCCGGCCAGTGCGGGTATCCCTTCATCTTCGCGAAAACCAAATCTCCTGCCTTGTAGTCCCGCGGCCGAGGGCGAGCCATGTCTGCGGTGGAGCTCCGAGCCTGTGCAGTCCTTCAGTGCCGCGCGGGCTCAACGACCATCGGAGTGTTTACCCGCCGCAGTCACACCGACAGAAATAATTAAAGAAAGGCGGAAAACGGGCCTGACTGACGGGGCTGCCGCTACCCTCGGAGGCGGCCGTAAACGCGGCGGGAATGGCCTACGTAAGAAGCGTAAGAAGCGCGGAGAGCCACAGCGGGGGAAAGACTCGACTTCCGGCCTTCAGAATAAAAACGGCACTGCTGCTCGAACGTCCCCAGCAAACACTTCCGGTTAAATACCCGTCAGCTGACCGGTGGCTGGAAATGTTTTTATTTTTTTAATCAACTTTATTTGATAAAGGAACAAGGTACAAGAGCAGTAGCTACCTCAGCACCATCCATCCATCCATCCATTCGCTTCCGCTTATCCTTTTCAGGGTCGCGGGGGGCGCTGGAGCCTATCCCAGCTGTCATAGGGCGAGAGGCAGGGGTACACCCTGGACAGGTCGCCAGTCTGTCGCAGGGCCCAACACACAGGGACAGACAACCATTCACACTCACACTCACACCTAGTGACAATTTGGATTATCCAATTAACCTATCCCCACAAGCTGCATGTCTTTGGACGGTGGGAGGAAGCCGGAGTACCCGGAGGGAACCCACGCAAACACGGGGAGAACATGCAAACTCCACACAGAAAGACCCCGGCCTGATGTTGGAATTGCTGTGCGGCAACAGTGCTAACCACCGTGCCACCGTGCTGCCTACCTCAGCACCACAAAGATTAAATAAAATATGTACTCTACAAAATAATTTCAGAAGCTTAACACAGAAGAAAAAATATGGATGTTGCAGCGAGAGCGAACAAAAAGCAGACAAAAAACAGAGCCTCGCATTAATTACGCCTCTGAATATTTAATTTAAGCAGACTAATAACGGCGTAATTGCTTTGTGATTAGAGGAATGTTTGATGGTGTCAGTATATTTGTCGAATTCCATCAAGAAATTGAGGAAATTTAGTTTTCTGTTAACCTTACGTTTGTGAATATGAAAAAAGATTAGTAAATTATTATTTTTTTTAAATGTCTTGAGTCATGCTCAATAATCCAGGTAAGTAAATTCCCAAAAGTTGATTCTTTTCATCTGGATGTTTTCAGTGGGAGAAACGTTCATCAGAATCAGAAAGGGTTTTATTGCCAAATGTTGAGCAGGTTTACAACATTAGGAAATTGCTGCGGTGCTTCAGTGCAAACATACTGTCATAAATTACGCTTAAATAGACATGAAGAAAATAAAAGTAAGAATAAGAATTAAAAGTGCTACGTAGAAAGATATATACATGAGTGCAGGTGGTGATCAGTGCAAACATGGAATGATGCAGTGACACAGCGTAGGGTCATGTGTTAGTGGTGGGAACAGTCATATGGTTATTGTTCATGTGTCCAACAGCAGAGGGGAAGAAACTGTTCTTATGGCGAGAGGTTCTGGTGCGAATGGACCGGAGCCTCCTGCCTGAGGGGAGCAGGTCAAACAGACTGTGTCCAGGGTGAGAAGGGTCAGCTGAGATCCGAGCTGCACGCCGCAGTGTCCTGGAGGTGTACAGGTCATCATCATCCAGGTGACTCCTTCAGTCTCAGCTTTCCTCCAAACACTGCAGCTGGATTCTTCTTTCCATGTAAAGACGAAGATCTGGCTTTGCACACATACATAAACGAAAGTTCCTCATGAAAGTGCAATCTAACATTCTAGCTTTAACCTCTCTGCAGCTTTTTGCTTCAGGTTTCATCTTTTGGCTTTTGTGCAGTTTTGAGGAGTGTTGCAAACTCTGTCTGGATTTCTCTGTGGACCTATCACAGCTCCACACTGTAACTTCCTGTTTGACATGGTTTTGGTGCATTGGCTCAGGAGCTTCGGTGAAGACGAGATGTTAGCTTCTCTTTGGTTGTAGTTTAACTGAAGCTAGTTTAAGATAAATCTGATGCTCTGCTTCTCTGGATTCAAATGCAGGCTCCACTCTGCTTTATTGATGATGTCTTTCATTCCCTCAGAGTGATCAGATTCAGGTGGACGTTAGAGGAACTGCAGTTTTGGTATTTAATTTCAGCTCTGCTGGTGTAATGGTGATTACGTCCATCTTCTATATACAGTCTGTGACTTATTTCAACTACCTTAACTGACAGGAAGTCCACCCTTCTGTTTGCAGGCATCAGGGCCTGTGTGTTAACCAGCCGAGATAGTCCTGATCAGCCAAAACACTAAAAACAATACCGGTTAAATCCATCTTTCATATAAATGTCTTTAATGTGTCCTGTTTAATGTAATACTTGCAGCCTGTTTTATGCCTGGCAGGTCTTCCTGATCTGTGGAAACTCAGAAGAATCAGAATCTTTATTGTGCTTTCGAACAATGAAAACTGTATGCAAATGTGTTCAGTACAAGTGAAAAGAAAACTTTTAAGAGACAGAAGTATATATGTACAATAAATTAAAAAAACAAAACAACAAAAAGCTGCACCTGGTTAGAGAAGGTTTATTTATTCAGTGTTTCACAGACTCCAGATGTTCATGTGAGGTTATCCGTCTGTGCGTGGAGCTGACGGTCCTTCCTCTGCATCCCAGCTGCTTCCTACAGGTGGCGTCGCTGCAGCAGATGTGGAGGCCCTGTCACACTTCTCCACCGGTTCCTTTGATACCCAGGCGCTCGCTAATATGTCGCTGACCTTCAGCCGCTGCTCCACGATGGGGTGCAGAATTCTTCGGATCAGGTCTTTAGCCTCTGGGGAAACTGGAGGATCCTTCGGAAAGTTAAAGCGGCGTTTCTTCTGAAGCTGCGCCTGCTTTTTAACGTTGGAGCAGTTAAAGGGCACCGAGCCGTACAGCATCATGTAGAGCACAACGCCCATGCTCCACACATCTGACACTTTGGGGTCGTAAGGAATACTGTGCAGAACCTCTGGGGCTGCGTACAACGACGTCCCGCAGAAGGTTCTGCTCAGCACGACCCGACCGTCCACATACGTCAGCGTCTTGCTTAAACCAAAGTCGCCCACTTTGAGGTTGTACTTTGCATCCAGGAACAGGTTTTCACATTTCAGGTCTCTATGGGCCACGTTCCTGCTGTGAAGATACTCCACTGCCCTGCACAGCTGGGAGAAAAGCTTGTGGCTGAAGCGCTCTGGTAAGGCCAGTTTGCTGTTGATGTAATTTAGGAGGTCTCCTTTGACACAGAGCTCCATCACCATGTAGACCTGCGACATGGAAGCATACAGAGAAATAAATCCAGAAATTCTCATCTAACAACACAAGCGGTGACCATCAGGTGACCCAGCGCGCTCATTTATGACCCTAATCGTATTATTTCAGCTCGCTATCATCAAACAAGCCTGATGCGTCAGAGGTGCAAGCGTGCTCCGACGCTCCACAGACAGACACCCTCATCAGGCCTCCATTATACTGACAATTCGTTATTAGATGGAGAGCGTGAAGGTCGGCGTGGACGTCTGCGTGCCTGCTAGTCTTCTGAGACTTTACATTACAAAGCATCAACTCAAAGAAGTATAAGAAGGATGAGTCTCCAGCTGTCTGTATCAGAGTGTAGGTGAGACTAAAGCAGGCGGGGAGGGTATCAGGGCCATAATTTCCATTTATTGGGTGAGAAACCATATTTTACAACTTAAATAGATAACAGAAATGGCTTCCTAATGAATCACTTGTCCCAACTAATCAGCAAAGATCACAGTTAGTGACATTTTGCTCCTGACCCACTTCCACACTCATGGTCGTAACATCAACACTAACCGAGGTAAGCTGATGAAACCCGTCCATCAGTAGTTGGTCTAAATGTTGATCGGTGTTGTTTGTGTTGGATTTCTAGTAATTACTTGTTATTAGACATGTAGCAGATGCATCGAGTGAGCTATACTCGTGTAGCCATATTATAAACATAGAACAGTGGTGGCCAGCTTTAATAATCAAAAGTATGAGCCATGCAATAAGAATTAAAACTAATGCCTGAGATGATGAACCACGCAGGAATCCCTGCAGTTCCTCTAATGTCCAGCAGAGGCAGCAGTGAGTCAGTCCCCATAGACTCCCATATTAAAACTTTACAGCAGAAGTAACCATGTTTGCAGCCTGATACACAAACTGTTCTGATCTCTGTAGATAACTTCACCTTCAGAACAACTACAGGCAGAAGGTTTATATAACTCCCGTTTTAAAATCGTATTAAGACTTAAAGTCTGCCATTTTAGGGGCGTGGCCTCTTTGACAGACAGGTGGATGGCGACACAGGAGGCTGTAGCTGGTGGCTACAGCCTCCTGTGTCGTTATTTGCGAATCAAGAATCAGCAAATAACGGCAGTAAGAGAAGCTTTAGGTTAATTATCTTAAAATAGTTTTGGATTAAAGACGACTTGGATTGATTATATTTTAACTCCTGTGTCTTTTGCAGTAAATACAAACTAATAAGCAGTCAGACGTGTTGCATCCATGCAAAGCATCTGTGAATGTGACCGTGAGCAGACACTGGCAGGCTCTGTGAGGTTATCGTACTAACAGACTGTCCAGGAAGTCTGCGCTCCAGTTTGAGTGAAATTTGAGGATTTTATTTGGATCTTACTGAGCTCTAATTAGCTGAACACTCAGCACTCCCCCCACTCGTCCAAATCTGGTCATTTCTTGCTCCAAAACCCAAGAAGTTAAGTGTTTACTGACCAGAGGAGTCGCCCCCTGCTGGTCACTAGAATAAACCACGACCTTTACTTGTTTGTGCTGTCTTTGTAGCAGCAGAGCTCAGCGTGACGCTAAAACAGCAGAGAGCACGAATGTCTTACCGTTCCTTTGGGCGACTCAAAGATCTCGTGAGTCTTAACGATGTTGGGATGATCCAAAGTTTCCAGGACGCCTTTTTCATGAGGAAGGAACTTTTCAATGTAGACAGAGGTGCATTTACTTATGTCAGTGACTTTTATGGCGACCATTTTTTTCATCTGGGTTGAGTATGCTTTCACAACTTCACCGAACATGCCTTGTCCCAGTCTGCCCTTATACTGGTAACCACGACTCTCCATGAAGCGTTTGTCCATGGTGGCTGTGGCTGCAGAGTTAGCTGTGACTCTATGATGCCGGTTTAGTTTTCAGTGAACTGCCTTTATGACATCACTTTCTAGAACACCTGATTCTTAGAACTTTCCAGTCACATGACAGAGGAACCAAGAGCAGAAATAACAAACTTAATTATAACAG